CATATGCGGACCGAAGTGCTGCTGTCAGCATCACATGAGGGATGAGCGTGCGCCTCCTTCAAGTGCCTGGTCCCATGATGCACAGCTACCAAATCTGCTGTGTTATGCATTCGGTCAGATATCCAGCTATGACCCCGTTAGTCCACCTGTATTTTTTTCCTCCTCATTGACGCACATAGAGGTGTAGATATTATAGATATAGATGTACATAAATAGAAAACCAATATATAAGGAATAATGTACAGCCAGACAGTATTATCAGAATGTCACTTATAGTTACTTATAGTCAGTAGAATGTCTGTTGGAGTGAATCAAGTTCCTATCAAAAATATGAGTGAATGGCAAACGTCTATGCAAGTTAATATAGAATAATCCAGCGATTCAGAACAACAACTTATTCACGATCAAGTCAATCAGGGTGTATTCACACCAGGAAAGTCCGATACTTCACTAGCTTTGGTCCGGACCAAATACATTTTTTTTTTTTTTTTGGTACGGTTCGCTTTCACACTGCTCTTTTTGCAAGTAAAACAAAATGTGTAAACAAAACCACACATGTGCTAAGGTCGTCCATTCATTGGACAAGGATTCTCAAGTAGGGAAATCAGGAAGTGCAAAAAAGGCTTAAAGGATAATTCCGGTATTTAACACTTTGAGTCTATTTTCTAGTTTGTTTTGGATGAACTAGAGTGGTGGACTTAGAAATTTTGACGATGGGTCCTGTCTCGACTTTTTGACTATTTTAGAATCGCCTCTGACCGCTTCAGAGTGGATGTCTATGGGCATGCTCAAACATGTCCTTAAAACAACCCTTAACGTTCATTTTCAAAACTGTGCAACTCACCGAGTGGTTAGTGGTGTTTGTTGATGTTCCAAAACAAGTAGCGTAGCGAAATACAGTTTCTGTCGAGTTTTATTTGCCATTTTTTAAAATCGCATTGATGTCTGCTGGAGGTCTCAGTGCTCGTTGATATTACTGCGCTACCGGAAACGGAAAGGGGTCTGTTTACATTTGGTTGTAGTCTTTTCGCTCGGTTCTCCGTCTCTCAGAAGGCTAGCGTGAGCTGAGCAACTGCGGCAAAGTGGTTGTCGCCATCAAGTGGTCGGGGGTGTGCTAACGCTTCAGACTCAAATATTGAGCGGAAGTTTATACGCGGTTGTGAGGTTTCTGGAAAAATAGTTCCACTAGCAAATAACACGGATTGAAAGCATACATTGCGCCGATATATTTGTTTTTAATCATCAACGAACACCACTAACCACTCGGTGAGTCGCACAGTTTTGAAAACCAACGTTAAGGGTTGTTTTAAGGACATGTTTGAGCATGCCCATAGACATCCACTCTGAAGCGGTCAGAGGCGATTCTAAAATAGTCAAAAAGTCGAGACAGGACCCATCGTCAACATTTCTAAGTCCACCACTCTAGTTCATCCAAAACAAACTAGAAAATAGACTTAAAGTGTTAAATACCGGAATTATCCTTTAACGTAAATTAACGCAGCATCATCCTTGTATTGTAACTATCATTACATTATATGATCCTGATGCACACACTCATTCATTCATTCCATTCCAATGATGCACACACGACGCGCAGAAAGACGCGCAACAGACGTAATGTAGTAGGCTATAACAGATCACTTTCCCATAACGCAACTCCGACTACGGAAGCCTGTTAACTCAAAGGCGCAGTGCTTCCTTGCAATTGGGTCGGTTCATGTTCACACCGTAAACGAACCGTACCAGAGTTCGTTTGGAACCGTACCGAGACCACCTCTTCAGCTGGGTCTCGGTTCGGTTGTTTGGTCTGCACCCGAGTTCGATTGCTGTATTCACACCTGCCCAAAAGGTCCGCACCAAGGGGGCAAACGAACTAGAGTTCGATTCAATCGAACCAAACAAGGCAGGTGTGAATACACCCTCAGACTGCAACTGTAAGTGAACTATTTCGACTGATTCTAAATAGTTATTCAACTTGCATTTCCAACAGTGATGTTTTCTGTGGTTTACCATAGTAAAAGTAGCAAAAGGATCTGGAGTAATGAATAAGAGTAAAATAATTAATTTGCTTTCAAAAATATGATAGAGTGAACATTTATACTCAATTGTAATAGTACACTAGCCTGGATGCCAGCCTCGATCCATTGAGGAGTAATTATGATTGGTTCAGAATTAGTCGGGCCAATCAAATTGCCAGGGCGGGCTTTATACGATGATGGACAGATGATCTGCAGTTACGTAATCATCACGTTATCAAAGAGCGCTTGGGTTGAACTGGTTTCCCTCAGAGATGACTGGAGCTGGAGAATTGAGATGTATAGATTCCGCTATCGCGTCTGTTGTAAAAGAAATCGACAGCGCATTCATTTTAAAAAAGACGAACAGAGAACTGCAATCAAGGCATTTGTCGATCGGAAAGATGTGTTTGACGTCCTTCCTACGGGATTCGGCAAAAGTTTATTTATCAGCTGGCTCCGATGGTCGCTAAGAAGATGGGACGCAATGAAAACCCTGTGGTCGTTGTGGTTTCTCCTTTGGTCGCACTCATGGAGGACCAAGTAAAAGAAGCAACACTTGCTAGGATTATGAAAAGTGAGAAAAGCCAGTCCGATTAAGAATTTGCTAAAACAAATCATGAATAGCTATAGTCTATTGGTTAACATTACCGAATAACACTCACAGCCTCAGTGAACTCAACAGAAAAAGGAGAGTTGTGTCAGAGGAAGAGAAAATACTTACATTTTCATTAAAGATTACAAATACAAACATTTGTTTTTCCTTTGCGCCAATGAATCATTCAAAATAGACCCGGAGAGTGAATTAAAAAAATAAACAGGGTCCATTTTGATTCCAAATTGACTATAAGGTCAGTAGCCTCATAGGAATTGATATCATGATGCATTAATGTGCGTCTATATCTAGTCTATAACACAACAGGAAACCAGTTCCATCAAAGAAACTCTGAGATTGTCAGGTGGTTAGAGACTGCAAGCCATCATGCTCAGCGGCCCACTGTTCATTGTTTGTCTACCGCATCTGTTTACAGCTCAGCGGCGGGTCCTGCGCCACGCATCAGATGGAGTGAATTGGACTTCGGGAAGGATCCGCCTGGCTCAGCCCTGTTCATTAACGCTGCTATATCGGGCTCCAGCTATCAATGCAGGCTCGCAGCGAGCAAAAGGCATCACCGCACGCCTGCTCGCGACTGAAATTACACACCAGAAAAGAACATTAAACCCAGAGAGAGATGCGCACCAACAGACCGAGCTGACAAGTAAATTGTTTCTGAAGCAGCAGGCAAAGGAATACGAGGAAAGGAGGTGGAATGAAAGGAGGGAAAGTAAACAAGTGAGGAGAAGGAATCGTAACGGACAGGAGTGCGAGGCAATAAAGAGGAAAATGGTTGAGTAACAGGGTGATTTGGGGAGGTATCATCCTGGCTGGTGTGAATTAGGGAGAGAAAGGCTGGCAAGGAAGATACTGAGGGCCAAAGCGAGAGCTCCTTGTGGAAGTCGGTCATGATGGATTGTGGGAATAAAGTACGCTTTGTAGGGAACCGTACAATATGATGCTAGTGATGAAGAAACTGATGACACGCTCGCTCGGGTGTCCTTAGATGAAACTGTACGAGATGAAAAAAGGGTTTTAAATGAAGTGAAGCTTTAGAGGAATACTGGAATTCACCCACACAATAAATATTTGTCTTCATTTATTTCAAACTGAAGCAATTCCAAACCCATATGACTTTATAGATTTTTTTTGTGTGTGTGCTTTTCTATACTCTACCGTTCAAAAGTTTGGGAACAGTTAGTTTTTTTTAAAAGAATGTAATACTTTTAAATTGATCAAAAGTGACAGTAAAGACATTTATAATGTTACAAAAGATTTATATTTCAAATAAATGTTGTTCTTTTGAACTTCCTATTCATCAAAGAATCCTGAAGAAAAATTTGTTTCACAGTTTCCAAAAACATTAAGCAGCATAACTGTTTTGAACATTGATAATAATAAGAAATGTTTCTTGAGTATCGAATCATCACATTATAATGATTTCTGAAGGATCGTGTGACTGAAGACTGCAGTAATGATGCTGAAAATTCAGCTTTGATCACAGGTATAAATTACATTATAAAGAAATATTAATTTCGAACACATATGTTTTAAAGTGTAATAATATTTCACAATATTTTACTGTATTTTTGTTCAAATAAATGCAGACTTAGTGATTGTAAACCTAAAGGGGGGGGGGGGGGGGGGGGGGGGGGGGGGTGGGAGTACACCAGATGTGGTTCATTTGATTCCATTGATCAAAATTGAACTACATAAGACACAATTCATATGGACTACTTTTTATGGATGTTGTAATGCATTTTCAAAATTTTGGAGACTGACAGACCCAGTCCCCATTTCATTTCACTACTGTATATGCAGGACAAACATTCATCTTCCAAGTCATTTGGGTTTAGTACAACATGAGCCTAACTAAATGATTTTGGGGTGAACTGTCTCTTTAAATGCCCAGTAGTTTCATATAGTCTCACTCTATTTAATGGATTCGCTTCAATTCTCAAACTCATGATAAAAGGCACATAGGCAGAAGATAGCAGTCGCTCCTGACTGATGTCTGTCGTTTATCCTGAAATCCTCCTTTCGTTTAACATTATTCATCATACGTCTGAAATAGAGAACCAGTTGATCTGACAATCCCTTGAATGGTGTCCATCACACAAACAGACAGTTCATCATATGACTCGAAAGACAGACGAGACGGGGAAAACACACCAGAGCCATGTGGGGAAAGCACATAAGCCTGCACTGCAATATATATATATATATTTTTTTTTAGCTCCCAATAAAAATAACTGGCTTTTTTTTTAAGGTTCAGGTGCAATTAGCGGGCGTATGTGTCTATTCCACATAGCTTGGAAATAACCTGGGAATCCACAATCCACATCAGCACCTAGGAATATAAGCACAACACAAGGCTCATGCACGCTTACCTGGAACCACAGGACCCTCCAACAGCTCCGACTGGACAAACTGCAGCAAGGTGAAAATGATGAGGACTGTGGTGCCTGACCATGTGACCTGCATGACTCTTACAGAGATGGCATCCCTGGTCGTCTCCGAGATTAATCTGGACAGACACAGAGAAAAAGAAACTTCACATTTTGTGGACGAATTCAGTGAAACAATGATCATAATTATACATAGCTTCAAAATATACCATGAATGAATTATAGTCGATCAGATTTAGAGAGGTGCATTTTGTGGATTAAAATCACATTCTCTCATGCACCAGACTTATTTGGATCAATGCTCGAAGGCTGATATGAGATCTCATACCCAGCAGGAATATTGCCTGTTAGTACAACATGGATCTGATCGACCACAATACAAGTGCACTGAGATTGCCTTAGAAAAAAAACACTAACACATTTCCATAGTTTGAACCGTAGTTAAAACTCTCTCTCAGCTACTCGAACCCGACCTTGGTTTTGTAAGCAAAGGCCTTGTCACTGTGTTAGGTTGCACTCAAGATTCATAGCGCATTGCCCTTCTTCCATCTTTCTCTGCATGGTCCTGTGAGAGCGTGAGAAATGGGTGCTTGAGAATGAGAATGAGATTGTGTGTGTGTGTGTGTGTGTTCGCATAGCATGTGCAAGCACATCATGATTAGTGTGTGCACTCCTGCTGGCCGACAAGAGGTAATATACACTAAGAGGAAGAGGCGGTGCAAGGCGAAGCTGCAGGTTAATCCTTTTATTGTAATGAAGTGGCAGAAATATTAATGCACTGTAAACACAGGACGTTTAAACCCTGTCCGTCATCTTTACGAGGGCGGAGCTGCGTGGAGGAAGCCGAACTGCGCTATCCATAACAAACATGACATTGACTCTGCAAAACAGCTGAGCAGTCACTTAAGGAGATTGTCCTCACGTCTGCGGCAAAGCCTCGCTCTTTCCCTTTCCGTTTCTTTTTCACTTGACTGCGTTCTCACAATGGAGACCGACGGTCTGTTTGTTGTATGTAATGAGGCACGCTATCCGAATCCGCCTATTCAACAGTTCAGGAGGCTTTTTGAGGGGCAATTTTTGCCACAAGACTAGTTGTGGCACATGATTCAGCAGCTCTAGTGCAGAAGCTTGTCCCCCCACCTTCAAACTCATCTTCATGCCCCACGAGCCACGAGCTTCACTGGCCTCACATGCTGATAACGGATTACAATAATCGAAAGGCTGAATGTCTGAGCATGAAATTGTGTTTGTTCGAACAGTTTGATATTTATTCAGAGGGCTTGTTGAAGAGTGTGCATGGAAATTTAATGCCGGCGTCTTGTTTAAGAGTTTCACTGCATCATAGCCCTTTTGGTTTTTCAGATATACTAATCGATGTTACAGATCTTACTTAAATACATAAAAAAATAAGTTGTACTATCATTGAGAAAGGATTGGAAATGTTAAATAGTAAATGACCCATTTTGCTCGTTTCAGGGTTGGGCTAAATTAAGAATTGACACCCTGTCAATTTATTTATGACTTTAAATCGAACTGGCCACATTACACAGGAATTAACTGAATTGAAATTCAATGAATTGCAGTACAGTCTTTGTAGTAACTTTGTCCCAAATGGCACCCTAAGGACTAGAGGTCTTCCTACGAGTCTGCACTTTCGTGACTTAACTGCGCTTTGACTGGCGAGAAGAAGCAACAAAGATTTGCATCAAAGACGCATATTGACCGCAAAGGGGCGTTTGTGAGCACCCTTTTGAAACCTGAAATGACAAATGGGACACCCTACGGTCTCATGGACTTAACGGACGCGGCAGCATTTGTCCACAAGACCGAAAGTGCATATGAAGTGTGCCATTTGGGACAGGGCCTTGTAAACCTAGGACCCCATCATACACCCGGCACAATGCAGCACCAGGCTCAACGCAAGTGTCTTTTGCTAGTTTCAGCCCGACGCAGTTATCATTTCCACGTCCTGCACCACGTTGTTTAAATAGCAAATGCATTTACGCCCATGGGTGTGCTGGTCCTAAAACCAGGTGTGTTCGGGTGCATTGTTGGCGCGTTGCTATTTTGAGGCAACTGAAATAGACTGCGCAGTATTTTTTTGTTATTTAAAGAGCGCGATAGTAATGTGCGCCTATAGGCGGGTCCACAACGCGCGTACACTCTGCTTATTACACACACAGGGATGCGCAGCAGCACACAACAAACATTCCAAATATTTAAAATAAAAGGATTACAATGTAAAAGATCATTATTGTGTACATAAGATATGGCGGAATCCGGCTTGGCCCGTATATGGCCTGCTTGCACGCTTTAACCTCACGCACGAGCAGATCCATTTCCTCTATGGAGAAGCGTTCAGGTTTTCCACTTGCAAATTCTGTAAATAGCAATCCGCCATGGCGCGAGCGCAACTGGCTTTTAAAGGGAATAGGAGATGAGACTCTGATTGGTTTATTGCATGTTGCGCACAAAACACACCCATTACTCATTAAGAAAATAGGGACAACCATTTTAGATCATGCGCCGGGCGCACCGACCATTGTTCTCGTTGTTAAACTAGCAAACGTGGTTTCGGACCATACACTTCGTTCAAATAGGGCCCTTAATGTTTTTCTGACCCCACAGCAACATCATCCAATGCTGTGAATTTGGGGTGGGACTCTCTGTTTGGCTGACGATTAGCGGGGGGAGTGTTTGGGAAACCAAACGTTATCTTTTCAACTGTGTTTGGTGATGCTAGTGGTGCAGAAATGACAGATTTTGCCTTTTAAAGACATACAATCCTTTATCTTGAATATCAAATTCAGTCATATTAAAAGCCTTCTCAATTAAAGTGCCCAGGCTTGGTTGTGTTCGAGCGTTTGCATTTACCTCTAGGCCGTGGCTCCAGTGTGTGATTAAATGGTGCACAATCCACACAGAATGCTTTCAAATTAATGAACCAGGAGGAGGAACGGCCAGCGGAAATGCAGGTTTTGCTGAAATGCCTGGAAATCATGAACAATAGGCGAATATGTGTTTACTCACTGTCCTGGCTGTAGTCCCGGGGGACGGCATCTGCGTCGTCCAGATAGTGCACATTGTAGCTCTAAAGCATGAACAAGGAATGAATACACAAACGTGTGACTATAGAATGCTCTGCTTCTTATGGCTTGCACAGCCATTGCATACTCCTGTCGGCGCATTGCATTATTCCCTCAAAAAAGGTCTTGGTCAGGCTAATTGAACCACCAGCCACCTTCCCAGTATGCCTGGAGGTCTATGGGGAAAAGCCAGCGATGGGCAAAGATAACGATAATGATAGTGATATTATGCATATCTTTTCCCTCGCCCAAATCATTCTGCCTTCCCATTTGGACCATAAAGGAAATAGAGGATGGTTTTGGTTTTTCTTTAGCCTAACAACCGCAGACCATTGTGTTAGGCGTCTGCGACGCAATATCAGCCTCCTTCCCATCTCTTCCTTATCTTTCTTTGTTCTCCCTCTCTCTGTCTCTCTTTCCTTCCCCTCCCCAGCTCTCGGAGCATCTGGCTCCCAGGGCTGAAGTTACGGGGAGCTCCAAAGGCAGAAATTGGAAGATGAAAGGCGAGAGATTAAGCTGAAAGGAACAGTGGGTGTTGTCAGAGGTAATTTGAAGTGCATTTGATTTCTCCGAGCCCTCTGAACACTTTCCCTGCAATAATTTACCTGCTATATCCCTCCACCTTTAACACACCAGACGCCCCTCGTGAGATGTGAGGAGACCTATTCATGTGGAAATGGTGTCATGTCATGTTCGAAATGAAAGCAGTGTGTAAAGGAAATGACAGTTTAGTCAGTGTCTGCCAAACCTCAAAACAGTACATGAAGGGTCGGGATGGGTGTTTGACTTTGTTCACGTCACCCACCACCACAACAAAGAAACTCCAAAAGCAGAAGAGGAAAAGAAAGCACTTGTTGTGGAAACTGAAAAGTCTTCATCTTTTTCTTGTTGTACCTTTCTCTCAATTTGAGCTCAGAGTTTTACAGTGAGTCGGTGTGGTTCGGTGGTTGTGGACTTGTTATTGCGGATTCCAATGACTTGATGCAATGCCGATAAAATGTGTAACAGGGTTGTTGTCATGACAAACAGGATATTCTGAGAAACATTTCGCTCCAATTCTCACTATTAACTAACTACTGTATTAACTACGACTTTTGTCTCAATAAACTCATAATTACTGCTTATAAGGTAGTTGTTTGGTTGTTGGTTATTGGTTTGGATTGAGGGATGTAGAACTTGGTCATGGAGATTGGAGAATAAGGCATTCATATGTGCTTTATTAGTATTAATAAACAGCCTATATCCTAGTAATATGCATGCTAATAAGCAACTAGTTAATAGGGAGAATTGGACGCTAACCTAAAGTATTATCATATAAAGTATAAAGGATTACAATACTGTGTATATGGGTTGCAAAATTCAGGGACATTTTAAAGTCGGAAAATTTCCATGGAAATTAACGTGAATATATGGGAATTAATGGGAAATATCTAAAAAATATGTGATACATCTCAAAAACAAAATGGCTAAACATACAAAAAATAAACTTATACAGCCATATTATCTTTCAAAGCACAGACTGTTTTTTTTTTTTGTCAATCCATCTCTCTTTTTTTCTTATATATTTAGCATTAGACAAACATACGGTTTTGTTCACTGTAATTAAAAACTGATTAAAGAAAAATTAAAAGATTACATTAAAAAAATTGCAAATCCGGCTAGTAGGTGGCAATATGGACTAAGAATGTAAATCACCATTAAACAAAAGAAGAAGAAAGAAGAAGTTTGGTGTGCTTCTTCTTAGCATTCGTTAACTCTAAGTTTCATATTCCGGGTTGACTGAACTTACTCCAGACCGCGTTTTACCTCGAGTAAGCCAGGTTTGGGTTAACCAACCAAATGTTCAGGGTATATGTGATGGTAAGTTAACCTTGCTTTTTGGGATACCCCACTGAACGCAAACTTTTGAAAACAGGTTTCAAAATGCAAGCTTTTGAAAACAATAAATTACAGTCTCTGTGTAAATTACAGAAACTTGAATTTGTAAAAACAGTGACGTCATTCGCATGCGTATTACGTGTTCAGTCTATAGG